TCGTCTCACCTATTTTGGTCATGTTGTAAGAAGGGACCATTCCCTGGAGAAGGATGTCATGCTTGGTAGGGTGGAGGGTCGACGAAAGAGGGGGAGGCCTTCAACAAGATGGACTGACATGGTGCCTGCAATGATGGGCTCAAGTAGAGCAGGGATTGGGGGGCTGGCGCGGGATCGGGCAGTGTCTCTTTCTGCTGTGCATGGGGTCGCTATGAGTCGGAAACGACTTGACGGCACTTAACAACAACAACAATTTAAATGTATTCTTAACATACTATTCTCTCCATAGAAAAGGATTTTATTTAAGTTTCAAAACTAAAATTATTTTTTAAATTATATTTTCAAGGTACTTTTAGGAAGAAGAAAAATGATTACATGACCCTGTAATCAAAGAACATTCAGAAATTTCTCTCTCATAACTGTAATAGGTAATCAATTCAATCCAATAAGAAATCACTGATATTTCTTACAATTATGGTAGTGTTTACGAGATAATTAGGGTTTAAGATAAGTAAGGTCTTATACTTTACACAAAACCTAAAACAACAGTAAGTAGATAGCATACTCAGAAACAATGAAAAGGAAATGACAGAGAAATCTATGAGGAGCACACTCTCTGTGATTTTTCACTAAGAACAAGTCTGATAGGAACTGTTGCTACTATTGTCGTATCATGTAAGAACATACGATCATGAGCCTTTGGATTAGGTATTTCTTAAGTCAACGTTCCTCGATCGACAGGATTAGCATGTTGGCACAAAGTAAGCTCTCAGTGTGTGGACATACTTATCACAAACTGAGCCCTCAATAACCACCTGAATGAGTAAATGACTAAGTGAATGGGTATATGAATGGACATGCAGACCTATCTCTTAACTCCAAAACAAGAGAATGTATGATTATTATGTCCAGTTAAGCAAGTAAGCCAAACTATTCAGTATATTTTTAAACTAACATGAGATGATAAAAACTGTTGCAAAAGTCTTCTCCAGCAAGCTTACTTTTAGAATAAGCAACTAAACTATCTTCTAAATTCTGGTGGCATAGTGCTTAAGGCATTCTACTACTAACCAGAAGGCTGGTGGTTCAAACCCACCAGCCACTCCTCAGAAGGAAGGTTGGGCAATCTACTTCTGTAGTGATATCGTCTCAGAAACCCAAGGAGAGGTCGCTATGAGTGGGATCTGACTCAATGGCAATGAGTTTGGGTTTTTTTTTGGTTTTTTTTTTTGGAAGCACTTTTGTTAGCCTTTTAAAAATAGCCACAAGAGGTCAGTCTTCTGTAAGAAATAAGTTTAATACACTGCAGTCTCCAGAGCTAAGCATTTATGTTTGCAATGTATTGTTATTCATATGAATATCTGAATGTACCACATTCAGTCAAGTCATCAAATCTTTGGCGATTCACACAAATCACAAAAGATCATGAGGACCACACATGCACCGTTTACAGAAAGTTGCATATATCACTTCAGTTGATCCTCAAAACATCTTGTAGGCAAAAGCTTTACCAATTCTATTCATGGAAAAGTAAAGCAGATTCTGAGAAGGTGCTTGTTTAACTAAATGTTCTAAAACTAAAAGCACACACGTGAGATTAGGGTGTGCAAACTACAGTCAATAAATGAGTGCAGAGTTTTAAAAGCCATCACAGCACACATGCTTACCTTGCCAGCTATCATTGCAGACACACAATTTTTCTCCCGTTAGGTCACAGTAGCCGTGATCCGGGCTGCCACAGTTGGCTTTACAGTAAGGAATATCACAAGCTTCACCCTTCCAGTATTTATCACACTCACAATACACCTGACTTGGAACAGAGATACTAGTTGTACACTTCCCGTGACTAGAGCAATTGTTAGGACAAGAATTGATTCTGTAAAATATAATTCATATATATTCAAATTCAAGATAATTGAAAAAGACTTTTATTTGACATTTTGTAAGCTTTATAATTCTTATGTTGTATCTTATATGCTTCACTGAACACAACTGCACAATGTGACTTCGATTCTTTATTCTGTACTCTTTTACCCCTGAATGCAATTCAGTTAGATTCACAGTTGGTCTTCATTCAATGGATGAGTTGACTTTCTTACCACGACTCCTAACTTCAAGGACTATACATGCATATTGGCAGGACCCGTAGTTTCTAGGACTGTGTTTTGTAAAGACTTCAGTGCATAAATGTTTCAAATATATATATTAGAGAAAGAAAACTAAATTCAGAGATATCGGAAGTCATGTGAGAAGCCAAGATATAACCTAATTATGTAATATACTGAAATCTGTGGACGGGGGAAACCTGTCAGAGAAGGAAAACTCACTAGGTATTTATGAGGTAGGATTCTTAATAAAGAGTGCTGTCAAAAGCAGAAAACTTGAAAGACCTGGAAAAACAAGGCAGCCCGTTAAGTTCTAGTTCTCACAGGTTTCACTGTCCTTAAATAGTATATGATTATCTACACACTCTTATGGAAGAAAAGGGATATTTATTAAATTCTATTTTAAGACCCTTTAAATGATCATATTTTACTATATATTTATTCTCCCTTGATACCTACTTGAGACAAATAAATTTCTGATTACAGAATATTCAGAATACTTTATTTCTGGTGGGAAAAAATCTGTGGTTATCAGTTCCTATATTCCTGGTGATAAGAAGAACCTAAGTGTACACAGCCCCTGTATGAGCATCCCTGTGCAAGAATCTGAAGGCGTCTCTGACTACCTCCCTTCCACCTTCGTATTTCTAGATGTAAAATTTTAGGCAAAGCTTAATCCTTTGCCAACAAACAATTTCAAATTTTGTTACTAATTTTCAACCAAACTTAATTTGCTATCATAATGTCCTGAGAACTTAGAAATTACCCTAATTTTGTTGTATTTCATGTCACTTAGGAAGGGATCCTGTATAATTTGAAATTTAACACACTAGCCTGCTTCTGATATGTAAGTTATCTATAAAAATAAATAATATACTCTTTTAAGAGAATGATTACATGATCGAGTTTTTTAAAATACTTACGAATAAAAAATGTTGAAGCCAGTTAAATTATATGCAGCATCGCTAAAAAAATGCAGTAGTGCATAGCCAGATGTTGTAACAACTTCAGGCACAGTTTCATTTCCCCTTGTTTCAGGGACTATCAAGCCACTAAAAGAAAGCAAAATTGACCATTGTGCATATTAGCATATATATGACTGTTAATTACAAAAAGTTGACTCAAAGACATTCTTGCCAGAATCACTAAGCACCTACATTACAAGCAACTGCTGTTGTTGTTATGTGCCGTCAGTCGGACCGACTCATAGCAACCCCTCCTTGGGTTTCCGAGGCAGTATCACTACGGAAGTAGATTGCCCCATCTTCCTTCCGAGTAGTGGCTGGTGGGTTTGAACCGCCAGCCTTCTGGTTAGCAGTCAAGTGCCTTAGGCACTATGCTACCAGAGCTCCCACAACAGGCAACTAGGAGAATAAATTTAAAATGAGTTCTTATCCACTTCTCACTCAATTAGCTCCACTATAGCTGTCAAGGGAACCCATCAGCCACTCCTCGGAAGGAAGCTTGGGCAATCTACTTCCATAGTGAAACTGCCTCGGAAACCCAAGGAAGGGTCACTATGAGTCGACTCCACAGCACATAACACCACCACCACCACCACCTTATGTTTGTTAGTGAAGAAAAAAGGTTAAATGGAGACTTTAGATAGAATTCCAACTTTATAATACTAATCTTGATTATGCATACATATTTTTCACTGTAGGGAGATGACATCAAAATGAGTACACTGCTATAAATATCCCCAGGTCTTGGTAGTAAATATAGCTAGCCTCTGGGATCTCTTTGAAACAGATTAAAAGAGTAGATTTGTTTTCTTGCCTATTTTTAAGTGTCCTAAATGCAAATAGTGAAAGAGGATTTTCACTTCTTGTATAACACATCAGGTAATATGGACCAAGTACACTCCCACTAAAGTCACATAGCAAAATGACAAATTATATTAAAAAAAATATATATATATATATATATATTTATATATATATATATATGCTTGAAGACATTAGAGAGCTAACAACATGCTAAGTCCAGGACTGGGGGGCCATTTTTCCCCATGGGCATTTGCTGATTTCAAAGTTGGAAATGAGAGCTGAAGAGTGAAGAGACAGGGAGGTATTATCAAGGATCTGCAGAGCTGGAGAAACAAAAAGCTGAGGCCAGGGCCCTCACTTTGAACTGAGATCTGAATTACCAGGCATGAAACTGAACTAGTAACAGTAAGCCAGGCCCTTGGGAGGAATGCACACAGTATAAGTGTGAGTCACAATACTCAAGTTTGGACAGAGTTGACTGTGGATTGCTAGTATCTCTAGCCACTGTCTTGAGTAACGTAACATCCTTCTAGGTCACAAATTGTAACTATATATGATTTTGCAAGCACAATGTCCAGCACTGAGTAAAAAATAATCATAATCATAACACTGAAACAAGACTATATGAACAATAAACAAAACAAACAACAGAGAATCAGAAATCAGATAAGAGTCTAGGATCCCGAATATGAAGGGACTCTGGTGACACAATTTTTAAGTGCTCAATTGCTAAGGTTGGCAGTTAGAATCCACTAGCTGTTCTATGAGAGAAAGAAGTCTGCTTCCATAAAGATGATAGCCTTGGAAACCCTGGAGAATAGTTCTATTCTGTCCTATAGGGTCGCTGAATCGGAATTGACTCAACAGAAATAGGTTTGGTTTGGTTATCATGAATATATAAAGAACTCTTAAAACTCAACCACAAAAAAAAAATAAACAATATACTTTGAAAATGGGCAAAGGGTTCTCACTTCAGCAACACATATACATTAAAAAAAAAAAAAGGAAAGCAAACGACTTGATTAGACATTTCTCCAAAGAAGATTTACAAATGGCCAACAAACACATATAACGATGTTCACCATTACTCACCTAAGTACAGCTATTAAAGGTGCATATATTGAGTCACCATCATAAACATACATATGATCCCAGCTACATTCAGTAGCAAAATGATTGAATCTTAATCTTAACACTGCATTTGGACTGTAAAAAACAGTAAAACAGTTAAAAATATGTAACATATAAAGCACATTCTGAAGAAATTTTAGACAGTATTTTATTTAAAATGTATTTATAATTTTGCTATTGATCCTTAAATCACCAATATAAAAAAGATTGATAAATAGTCATACTTAATTTGTAAAACTGACATACAATTTCAAAACTAGTAAGGCTATACATATGTATGCATCACCATTTTCTAAAAATGTAATCAATAGGAAATGTTCTAGATCTTGGAGGTAGAGGTGAAATAAGTTATACACATTACTGAAACTCATTAAACAGTACACATACAATGAGTGCACTTTATGGTATGCAAAGTACTTGAATAAAGTTTATTTTAAAAAATCAAGACTTACTTAAAAAGCAATTATTCTGTTTTCTACAGAATTCTCAAGAACTAACAGCACTCATAAGGTCCTCAAATCTTAATCAAAAGGTCTCAATGTGCTATTTATCAACAAATAAACTGAAAGCATAGATACACAACAGAATTAATAGATTTTATGTTTTTAAAAATTGTTTTACAATTAAGAAAAATATAGTTTTCCAAATATCATAAAATGAATCAAAAAGAATACATATCAATTGATTTTATGATTCATTCACAACATGTTTAGATAGATGAATTCAGGTTTAAGGTCTCAACCATTGAGAAACACCTCTAATAGCATAATTAACTCTCTTTTCTAAAAAATGTTTTTTTAACACCCTAAAATGAAGATGAAATTTCATGAACCAATGAAATAGCTTGGTGTGGAACTTTTTTTATACTTTAATGAAATCTCCAAATTTTACAAGATGTTTAAAACAAGCCCCAAAATGCCTACTCAATTTAGAACAGCACAGTCACATAGCTCAAAAATAAAACAGACAGAAAATTAAACTATTATCTCAGGTGAAGGAGTACCCAATTTATTTTAAATATATCTAAAAGGGGCAAATTCCATGGGGAAAAAAAATCATAAAAACTGTTGCTAATAATAAGCAAATTAAATAAACCATATAAAGCCATTACACTTTAATGCTTTAACATTAATATGATCACCTTCCTGATCATTCTAGAATAGAATACGTGAACATAAAATATGTACTTACTAGCCTTCAATCAGCCATGTACATTTAGTTTTATACTTATAGTTAATTGGACCATCTGTTAAATATCCAGAAGGTTCTGTTAACCTAGAGAAGAAAACAAAATCATGAAAATAGTTTTAAGACATACAGCAGCATAAAAAAATAAGGCAAACTGAAGGAATGGGATACAGGGGAGTTTCTTTAGAACTTAGGAAAATTTTCAAATTACTATTTTTCTCTGTAAATCTCAAAAGAAACTTATTTAGGTTTTTGTTAACCCTTGATATACCATGAATATGTCATTTTACATAGAAGAAAATAAACATTGAGAGATTAAATGTTACACTAATGGGTTCAATGTTGGTGTAAGAAAGGTAAATTAAACTTCGTTTGCAAGAAAATCAGGTTGAGGCAAAAGAAGAAATATCAAATGCACTTTGAAAGATGCAGATCCCTGGAGTGGAGAAACAGCATACGTGAGTCTCACTTGGGGGGATTACATTACCACTTACATTTATTTTTCATCCACCAGGATTGCTAAGGTAGATGTCACCAGTCTTTACAAAGTTCACATTACTGTTTTCTCTTACCTATTTACAATTTGTTTCTATTTTAAACATTTTTAAATACATAATTAGAAAAACTTCCTCAGATTTTCAGAACTTAAAACTATTTAGAGAACAAGATTCCAATCTCTTCATTTTGTTCTCCTTAACTCCAAGCCAATTATTTTACCAACAAAAGACCATATTTTAAAGAATTAAATTTCCTTCTCATTTAATCTTTATATATTTGTACTCTGCACATGCACGCATTTGTCTGCACATGTGTGAACATATGCGCACACACAAACACTCATATATATACATACACACATCAGGGCATATCAGTCTTTATACATATGCCTATACACATACAGTACATACATATATGGACTGATACATATATACACATGAGAGTAATTATCTAGTTTTACATAAAATTAGATTGTCTTTATACTACATTGCTGTTACATGTTGTTGAGCCGATTCCGAAGGACAGTGACTGTGTACAACAGAACAAAACACCTCCCAGGCCTGTGCCATTATCCGAACAGTGGTCATTTTCTAGCCCATCGTTGCAGCCACGGTGTCAGTCCATCTCACTGTGGCTCTTGCTCTTTTTGCTGGCCCTCTACTTTACCAAGCATGCTGTCTTTCTCCAGGGACTGGTCCCTCCTGGTAACATGTCCAAAGTCCACAAGATGAAGTCTTGCCATCTTGTCTTCTAAGGAGCATTCTGGCTGTGCTTCTTCCAAGACTTACTTGTTCATTGTTCTCAGTACACGGTATATTCAGTATTCTTCACCAATGCTATAATTCAAAGGCATCAATTCTTTCATTTTCCTTATGCATTGTCCAGCCTGCATATGCATATGAGGCTATTGAAAATACCATGGCTTTGACCAGGAGGTGCATCTTAGTCTTCAAGGTGACACGTTTGCTGTTTAATTAACACTTTAAAGAGGTCTTTTGCAGCAGATTTGTCCAATGCAATATATCATTTGATTTCTTGACTGCTGCTTCCATGGGCATTGATTGTATATCCAAGTAAAATGAAAGCCTAGACAATTTCATCTTCTCTCCACTTATCATTATATTGCTTATTGGTCCAATTGTGAGAATCTGTGTTTTCTTTATATTGAGATATATTTATCTGTGTTTTCTTTATATCCATACTGTCTCTGATCTTCATCAATAAGTGTTTCAAGTCCTCTTCATTTACACAAATAAGGTTGTGTCATCTGTGTATTTCAGGTTCTTAAGGAATTTTCCTCCAATCCCAATGCCACGTTCTTCGTCGTACAGTCTAGCTTCTCAGACTATTTGCTCTGCATACAGATTGAATGATATGGTGAAAGGACACAACCCTGACGCATACCCTTCCTGACTTGAAACCATGAAGTATCCACCTGTTTTGTTCAAACCACTGCTTCTTGGTCTATGGACAGGTTCCATAAGAGCACAATTCAGTGTTCTGAAATTCCTAGTCTTTGTAATGTTATCCAAATGTGTTATGATCCACACAGTCGAATGCCTTTTTATAGTCAATACAACACAGGTAACATCTTTCTGGTAACCTCTGCTTTCACTCAAGATCCACCTGATATCAGCAATGACACCTCTTATTCCACCTCCTCTTCTCTGAGTTGGTTTCAATTTCTGGCAGTTCCTTGTCAATGCACTGCTGCAATCATTCTTATTACAGAGCCATTAAAAAAAAAAAAAAAAACTTTTAGGGGCAAACTATCACCCAAATCACAATTTTAAAAAAAGAAAAGAAAAGAAAAAGTATTTTTAGGGGAAAATTGTTTCTTTTACCAAAACCAGAGGTAAAAGAAAAGTCAGTCAATATAAATGTTATTTGTAAGTCTTTCATAATCCCTGGAAATTGCTTTAGGTAATAAAGGGGATAATTCATCCTTGGGGAAATTTCTGAAAAAACAGCAGGCCAATTCCTTTGTTCTCAAATCAGTGCAGCAATAATCAAGCATTTTCTATGTGTCAAGTAAGTACAAATGTATTCTTTATTTAATCACCTCAAAAACCCGATGAACTAGTCATTATTAACCTCATGTTACAGATGAGAAATTGAAGCACCATGTAAATGAAAGGTTAACCACCTTTCCCTAATTTTCCACCTCCAGTAATGGCAGATGAGGTAAAGCAGAGTCGGTGAAAAAGGGGAAGGCCCTCTGAAACGTGGACTGGCACAGTAACCACCACAATGGGCTCAAACAAGCAATTACTGTGAGGGTGGCACAGGATGGGGCAGGGTTGTGTTCCGTTGTCCACAGGGTCACTATGGGTCAGAACCAACTTAACGGCACCTAACAACAAAGTAACAGGGCTGTTGGTAAGCCAAGGCTCCTAGCAGAAGATACAAAAATCCTCTGAAAACAGATAATGTTATTCCGGGTCTCAAATTATTTCTACCAACAATTTTTCAAATAAAATGTCTAGCACAGGCTCAAAGATAATTAAACAAGTATACAAGACAACAAAAATAAGAAGACAGAAGAAACAGACCTAAACATAATCCAGTTTTTGAGATTATCATATGCATACTATAAAACAAAATATGCTTACTAAATTCAAAAGGACCAGATTTTAAACTTTGGCAGTGAACTGAAAATTATAAAAAGCAATATAGCATACTTGAAAAAAAAATGAAAATTCTAGTGCTGAATACTGTAATAGTCAAAATTTAAAAACTCAATGGACAGGTTTAACAACACACGTTCAGCACAACTGAAAACAAGAAGAGAGATTTAAAAGACAGGTTCATAGAAAATACCCAAACTTAATCATGCAGAGTCAAATGAAAGAAGGAAAGTTAATATACAGGAAAAAGTGAATAGGTCTAATACATACTGAGTTGGAGACTCAAAATGAGAGAAAAGAAACAATTTTTACTATAAAATGCCCAAGAATTCTATAAAACTGATAAACGACATGAACAAAGAGATTTAAGAAGCTAAGTGATAATGAAAAGCAAACCATTTACTTAATACATGGTGAGATTTAAAAAGTCATGCATCTCAATAGACTAAAAAGCCTCCTAGTCAGTTGTGTAGTGCCTGGTGTCTTGAAATATTGTAAGCGTCATCCAAGGCATGATAACTGGTATTATGACAACTATTAGCCTCAACAATAGAGGAAGGAGGAGAGTCAGGAACAAAAGGAGGACACGGAATATATGGCTAATTACTTACGAACAACAGCCTCCTTTGCCAAGAGACCAGAACCGGATGGAACCAAGTTAACATTACTGAACATTTATTGATCAAAGATTCTATAGAAGAATTCTGATCAAAAGGGGGGAAATGCAGAAAAAAATTTAAAATTCTCATGGCCTCCTGACTTCCTGGAACCATGGAGGCTGGATCAACCCCAGAAACTATTGCCCTGAAATAAACTTTAAACTTTAAACCAAAAAGTATCCCCTGAGCCCTATTTAAAACCAAATAGTTTAGCTTCACCAGTAAAAAAGGACTAACTTGAGTATTGTGCTCTTTTATGAACTATATATATGGGATTAAAGTGACAACAGCAACTCTAAAGATTAGAAAGGAAACTTAGTGAGCTTATGTTAATGGGGAAAAAAATTCAGAAAAGGAGGGTGCATGAGAATGGTTTGACAATGAATAAGGAAGACCAAGGAAGAGTCAATGCTTTCGAGTTGTGGTGTTGGCAAAGAATGCTGAAAGTTCCATGGACTGCTAAAAGAACTAAAAGATCTGTCCTGGAGGAAGTGCAGCCAGAAAGCTCCTTGGAGTGAGAATGGCCAGACTTCGTCTCACCTATTTTGGTCATGTTGTTAGAAGGGACCATTCCCTGGAGAAGGATGTCATGCTTGGTAAGGTGGAGGGTCGCCAAAAGAGGGAAAGGCCCTCAACGAGATGGATTGATAGAGTGGCTACAACAATGGGCTCAAGTATAGGAAGGATCACGGAGCTGGTGCAGGACTGGCAGTGCTTTGTTCTGCTGTGCATAGGGTCACTGTGAGTTGGAGGCGATTCTACAGCAACTAACAACAACAATGACGACTAGTTATGTTGAACACCTTCTCATGGGCTTATTGGCCATTGGTATATATCTTCTTTAGAGAACTGTCTATTCAGATCCTTTGTCCATTTTTAAATTGGGTGATACATCTTTTTATTATTCATTAATTTTTAAATTGTGATTTGCACCTGTCAGGGACCTACCCATTTAAAAGAGACTGTCAAAAGGCTGAAAGAGCTCTGGTGGTGGTATGATTAAGGGATTTGGCTGCTAACCAGAAGGTCAGCAGTTCAAACCCCCCAGCCATGTTCTTCTTCATATAGTCCAGCTTCTCAGATTATTTGCTCAGCATACAGACTGAATAAGTATGGGGAAAGGATATAACCCTGATGCACTCCCTTCCTGATTTTAAACCATGCAGTGTCTGCCTGTTCTGTTCGAACAGCCGCCTCCTAATCTATGTACAGGTTCCTCATGAGTACAGTTAAGTGTTCTGCAATTCCCATTCTTTCCAATGTTATCCACAGTGTGTTATGATCCACACAATCAAATCCTTTT